GCAGCTGCAGCACTGAGCTGTGGAGCGGTGGAACTGCGATCTCTGGAGTGATGGCGCTCCACTATCTTTGGGATGAGTTGGAGTGATCAAGAACTAATCATCCAACATCAGTACTGTCTTCACTCATCCTCATGTGGCTGAATGCAATCAAATCCTCAAAGCAATGTTCCATTATTTAGTGTAAAGTCTATTAGAAGAGTAGAGGCTGTTACTGCAGAAAAGGGGGGGGGGCAAACTTCACTTCATTCCATTTTCATTCCATACAATTTCATTTCTATTACGCAATGTTTACGTCAGTATCTACGTCAATCAATGCCTTTTTAAGAAACGTGGTATTTAGATAAAAAGAAAATAATGAACCTTTATGCTGTTTTGAATAGTAAAAACATCTAAAAATTGGCATGTTGTTTAGAAATATATGCATTTTTTGCTAACATCTTATGCAAGTGGTCACTATCAAACCCAGTAAAAATAAAGGACCACAGTTTGATTCGTCTGTTAAAATGCTTTACTGTGTCACTTAAAAAGAAGGTTGGTTCTCTAACTGTGTTTGAACAATCAGTAAAACTATGGCATATATATTTACATTGGAATTCTGATGGTCAGATTAGATAATCTTTATTGCATATTTCCAAAAGGTGTTTAAAACTTTTGCCATTTCATTCCCTTGGCTGCATGCCAGTGAACCCCGAAAGAAGGTCCTGTTCAACTCAAAGTTATGGTATCCTTACACCTGTAAGCTATGACCAACTGCTCAAACCACTTCATGTCAATTAGGGTATCAATTGATGACTACTGTCCAACATGCTTGTGATCATTAACATTACCTATAAATACTCAAAAGACATGTATAGGTTAACTTGTCACTTTGGAAACCTCTCACCACCACTGTAAAGAAAATGAGAGTCTGTAATTTTCTCTACAATGCACCATTACACAGCAAACCACTCTGAATTAGTTTGTTTACACTCCAATGACTGGAAAATGCAAAAATATTAAGAAATCAATGGAATTCCTATTTATATATAGTTCACTCACAAATTCACTTTTTCCTTGTACAAGTTTTACAAAACATTAGCAAAAATCCCATTAAACATAAAGAGAAATTGTAGCAGAGTCACTACACAATGTTGAGCTTCCAATGCTACCTAGCTGGACTATGTAGTTGTGGTTAATTAAAATTAGGTAGATTTAAAATGACAACAAAAAGTTTGACCCAATGCTAATGTTAGCTCAAACTACATCTGATTCATAAAAAAAACTTTAACTTGTCACATGCATACAAAATAAATATGATTTGAAATAAACTGGCATGTGTGCTACAGTTTATTATTAGACTGAATTAGATTTTTGCCAGCGTTCTGTAATATTTCCAACCTTGTGACAGTGAGAGCACAATGGATTGGTCAGTTGTATCCCATGGACTTATGACTGTGTTTACTGTCTTTATTCTTCGGCCCATCAAGATAATCTAGTTTTAATGGCTGATGAAAGTTCTACTACTTCAGAGTTTTATAATAAAGGATACACTGTGATGAAGCTGACTTATTTTTTTTAAAAAATACATTGCATTTAATATTACAGTTATCAGTTCGACATTTATGACATTGCTTATTGTAACCATTGTTAGGAGGGGCTATGTCATTTCCCAGGAATGTCAAAATTATATAAGCCAGCATTGTAAGATGTCTTACAAAACACTCCATTCTTTTACAACAAATTTAGTCCCGTGTTCTTAAAGGTTCTGATGTGAATAATGTATGTCTGATCATTTTTTTTTTATTGTTAAACTCATGGTACAAGTGGTACTAGGTAAGTGTTTGCTATTAAGCCCCCTGTATCTCAGATTTATTAGCTAGGTATCAGAGTTTAGTGGTCATAAATGCTTGGTTGGGTTGGGTCATAAAAGCAAGGGTTGGGTGTAAGATGGCTTCACTGATTTGAGAAACTTTGGACTCAGCCCCACAGCAACAGAAGAGATTGTGACAGTTACATTGCCCGTCTACGTCACTGAGACCCCCTCCTCTGCCGCTCCCACCAGCACTTTTGGCCTTATGACCTTTTGGGTACTTCGATACTCTAACCTTTTTGGTAACTGTGATAAGTATCCAAATATATCCAGTCACTGTTTAATTAGTAAAATAGGTTACTTTAAGGTGCAGCCATTGCTGATACAGACACTCTGGAGCATTATGTCCAATGCTTAGCATCAGAGGGGTATAAAGCCCCCAGCATTAGGCTGTGGAGCAGCAGTGTTCCAACAGGTAGTGTAAAGTCTCCCAGGACAGTAGAGGCTGTTGCTGTCAGGGCAAGACAAACTCCCTATGTTTACCCTTAATTTAAGAGGAAACATTGGAAAAACACAAACTTTTTCAAATTAATTTATTAATTTGTTTTATTAATTTGTTAAGTTGGCAATCAACTAAATTAAGTTGAGTCAGACTTATCTCAGCTTAAAGTTTAAACTGCTGTTATCGTTCGTGATGTCTTTTACGTTGTGCACGTCTGTTATGTGTCCTTCATCTCCAGGTCATTATCTGCGATAAGAAGATGATAAGTCAAGTAGAAGTTCATATGGAGTTGTTGAGGAAAGATGTTGCAAGATTGGAAACATGCACGGCTTTAAGAATCATGTCCTCATAAAAGAGTGTTCACTCATTGGATACAAAGTTCAAAACTAGTTATGGCTCAAGTATGGCTCAAGAGGTAGTAAATACATAAAGTCACACATCATGGATGTGTTTTCTGATTCATGTTGCCACAACACATGCATCACATAAACACTGTTTGCTCTGGTTGACTCAGTTGATGGGAGCGTTCATTACTAGTAGGCTTAGGCTTACCTGTTTTTTCATTAAATACACATTGAACTACAATTTAATTCAGTTACAATAAACTACACAATTTAAGGAGCCCTTAGATTTATTAGTTAATTATTCATTCAATCATTAAGTGCCATGAGACATTTATGGAATGCCTGACTAGGTGTTTTCCTAGTGTATTTTAGTCCAGTCTTATCAGATAAAATGAGCTCTTGTGCCTGAAGCTCATGCATACTCACACAGGGCTGTGAAAAAGTATTTGCCTTTCACCCAATTTGTTCTATTTTTCCTAATTTGTCAGATTTACATTTTTCAGATCATCCAACTAATTTTTATATACAATAAAGACAACACAAGTAAACACAGAATGCAGTTTTTAAAAGATCATTTCATTAGAGATAAAGATTTATTCAAAATCTGTATCACCCATGTAAAAAAGTAATTGCACCTCTAAACTTAATAACTGGTTGTGCCACCCTTGGCAGTAAAAACTGCAATAAAATGTTTGTGATAACTTGCGATGAGTCTTTTACATTGCTGTGGAGAAATTTTGGCCCACTCTTCTTTGCAAAATTGTGCTAATTCTGCTATACTGGAGGGTTTTCGAGCATGAGCTGATGTTTAAGGTCTTGCAACAACAAGAAATGGAAGTTAGAACTTTGACTCAGCCACTCCGAAACCTTAATTTTGTTTCTTTTGAGCCATTCAGAGGTGGACTTGCTTGTTTGCTGTGGATCATCATCCTGTTGCATAACCCAACTGCACTTAAGCTTTAGTTCACAAACTGACGAGTAGATATTCCCCTTCAGAATTTTCTGATACAGAGCAGAATTCATGGTTTCATCAATTATGACAAGTCATCCAGGTCCTGCAGAAGCAAAGTAGCCCCAAACCATCACACTACCACCATGTTTTACTGTTGGTTGTGTGGAATGTGATGTTAGGTCTACGCCAGATGTAATGGGACCCATGTCTTTCAAAATTTTCCACCTCTGACTCATCAGTCCACAGAATATTGTCCTAAAAGTCTTGGGGGTCAGCAAGGTGTTTTTTGGCAAGGTGTTTGAGCCTTTGTGTTCTTTTTGGTCAGCAGTGGTATGTATGCTGCAACTCTCCCATGGATGCTGTTTTTGCCCAGAGCCTTTCTTATTGTGACATGTACACTGACCTTAACTGAGGCAAGTGAAGCCTGCTCTTCATTAGATGTTCATCTGGGTTCATCTCTTGGTGAAATTTTGGAAGGCCCTTTCCAGACTGGTAGATTTCAATGACTTTGTTTTGCATTTGTACCTGAATCTCTTTAGAACAAGGCATCTTGTGCTACTTTTTGAGACATTCTAGTCTGTTTCTCATTGCCAGACAGGTTCTATTTAAGCAATGTTTAGATTCAGGGGGTCTGGCAGTAATCATGCCTGGGTGTGGCTGGTGAAATTGAACCTAATAGTCAGTTGAAATTGGGGTAAATTACTTCTTTACAAAAAGCCAGGTAAGGCTGAACAACATTTTTCCTTTTAGTAAATGAAATCATCATTTTAAAACAGAATTTTGTGCTTACTTGGGTTTTTTTTGTCTTATATTAAAAGTACCTTGATGATCTAAAACATTTAAGTGTGACACTTGAAGACACACTATTCATATGGTCACCAGGAGTCAGAATTGACTTGACAGCACTTCACTGTGGTTTTTAATGGATGTTAAAACTGGGCAATAAGCAAGAGAGACAGGAAAAATATTGATGCCTTTGAACTTTGGTGTTGGTGAAGACTTTTGAGATTCCTTTTGATGGCAAAGAACAGAAACAAATGGATCTTGACCAAATCTAGCCTCAGCTCTCAGTTGAAACCCAGGTAACCTAACTGAATCATATGTCTTATTTTGCACATATTCTGAGAAGAAGCAGTTCACTGGAAAAGATCAGTGAACAGTTGGAACAGTTGGAAGTAAAATAGGAAGAGGGTGACCAGCAACAGGATGCATGGATACAATCAGAGGAGTCAATCATCAGCCATTCACAAGCCTGAAGACCCAAACAGAAGATAGCAAATTCTGGTGAAACACTATCCATATGGTCCAGGAGTGGGAATCGACTTGGGAATTTAATAACATTAATACTAGTGTTGAAGGAAGAATAGGGGGTGTGGTTTCATTTCTCAGTATTCAGACAAGCTCTGCCTCCTACAATCAAAATTCATATTCGCAAGCAGTGAGAGCAGAAAACAGGTGGGTAATAAGACAATCTGAGTCTCCTCCTGTTAAAACCTGTGTCCAACACCTGAACCACTAGAGAGAAAGGAGCTCCAGAGGAGGTTTCAGCTGAACACTGACCTCTCTCTCCTCGTTCAACACATTATTTATCTCTGAACTTCTTTAAATAAGGACTACTGTAATGGCGCCAATGAAGCAGCTCTTCATCTTTTGCCTGATAGCAACAGCAGCGGTAGAAAGCGCAGAAGACTCCAGTGAGTAAAATAATGTTTTTAGTGTTGTAACCAGCTATACTAGTCACATTTACTGAGTTATAGCTGCTTTTTATTAAGTTATGTTTTGGCTGTTCACAGTTTAGTCATTCACAGAGTAACACTATACATGTTTATAGCTGTTAATACTGTGGTAAAGAACATTTTTATTGTGATTAATTTCATTTGTTCTGTTGATTTAGCATTTGGACTGCTTTACTGGACACAAGCTTTAGCATTTTATTTCAGAAAAAAAAACGATTAAAAAAGAATAGCGCCTAACAAACTTCAGTTTCTATGCTGATAGATAATGTATGTTGTAATGCAGGTTTACAGAGGACTCTGGCTAACGTGTTTTGCCTCATTTACGCCAGTTGTAGAAGCTACTTTTATGTGTACTGAAGTCATTATTTCACTGAGTTAATCCTTTTCTGAACATGGCTTTGGGCTGTTTTTAGTAGGGATCGGCATTAAAGTCCCATTTGATATTCAAATTTCTAAGCCATTATTTGAAAAACATTAAAATATTCTAATGATATCACCCACTCTAAAAAAGATGATAGAAAACCTGATAAATTCACTATAAGTTGTTGAAAGCTTTATGTGCTATAGATGCTCTCTATTGCCTAGTGCAATAGACCCTCTGCCGGTGCAGCTTGGCACTTCTCGTCCAGTGTGCAGTGGCCTTTAACCCAAATAGAAGTCTTTCTTTGTAGTCTTTCCTTCTTTGGACAAAACACATAAGAAACTCTGACCAAAACATAAGACATGGTCTCTTTCCTTCCCACTGGTGGCGTATACAGTTCAGATATCTCACAGTTCTTATGAGAATGTGTAACATTAGAAACAGGCTAATTTGCATATAGAACATTTAAATTTACTATTTTTTTTTTAATGTTCATATTTGAATGTTTGAAAATTCTCATTTAGCTGAAAAGTTTTCATGATTTAAAGGGCAGGTAGCACTTTTACCAGAGAAGATTTATCGATTTATTTGTTGTTTGTTTGTATTTGTTTGAAACTGGTCCTGTTTTCTTGTACAGATGTTTGTCCGTGTTTGATTGCTTTGTGTTTCACAAAGACCTGGTGTGCATACCTTAATTAAAACAGTGGTTTTGAATGTTTGGACATTGTGATGTGCAGTCACCTTTAGCACGTTAGCTCAGCAACAGCTACACACGGTTACACGATTTCAGCTTTCACTCAGTCACTCAACTTCACGCTCTCAGATATCCTCTATGCTAAATGGGTGTCATTTTCCCATCAGTTAACAGGAACAAAGCCTGTGCTGTGTGGCATGTTTGGCCTGCTAACTAAAATGCTACAATCCCAAACACCACAGAACAGGCTCGATTTCAGCTTTCTGTCACTCACTCGACCTATGCTCTCCCAAGACATTAGTTTTTATAATCTAAACTTGTGTCAGCAGAGCATAGCCTAGTCAGAATCAAACCCTTTGCTGTGCTGTGTGGCACTGTCTCTGTAGCCTGCTTGCTAAGCTAACATTAAGTTAGCCAACGAGGCTACAGATCTACACAGCAAAAATTTTGCCTTTCTGTGCCTTTAGTGGTTGCTCGACTTCACTCTCTTAGATTTGAATCACTATTTTTAATCATCTGCGTCATGGCTTTAGTTAGCAGAATCAAACATATTCTGTTGTGAGCAGAGCTGTTATCATGCTAGCTATGCTAATAGCTAATGTTTTGCTTGCAGTACTGTTTAGCATTTATCAGATAGATGGTTTGACATTTATGGAATGGTGCATTGAAAACTGTGCACTGTGTTAAGACAGCCAAAAGCATTCTTATATACCTATAAATATATATATATATATATATATATATATATATATATATATATATATATATATATATATATATGTATGTGTGTGTGTGTGTGTGCGCGTGCTTTTTAAAATTAATTATTTATAAATTTTTTGGTTGGATACACGTGGTGATAAACTGCCAAAAAGCAGGGATACATTGCTTTTTCACCATTACAACCCTACTTATATTCAGTTGTCGTTTCGGGGGGCACTGTGAAGCTATGCCACCCACCCCACCCCCCCAAAAAAAGTAACCAACAAAACAAACAAGCAAACAAAAAATCTTCCTTCCATCCCACCCTCACCTTCCCTTTTGGATTTCTGTTGTTTTATCATTTAAGATGTCAAATATAGGTATTTTAATTTCACCCATATTTCCTATTTGCACACCAAGTTGCCTTAGATCCTTGGACCAAGTTGATCATCTAACCTGAACCTACTTTACCTACAGCAGATCACAAGTTTTGAATTGGAACCCAACTGTAGCCATGAGAATTCTCCCCGAGCTTGACTGTATTCTAAAAAAAATCTGACTTATACCCAAATTAACAGCTAATTAATAATAATAATAGCCGAATTATCAGCTAATCAAAAATAAGTTTAATATCTGGCTAACATGTTTTTGTCAATCTTTAACTTCAGGCAAGAAACGTACAAGACTAGATTAGGGAAAACTAAAGCAATAATGCAGGCCAAATCTGTTAAAGGTGGAAGGCTATTGAAACTGTGAATGTACCCTCTTGTCACAACCACAGGCGCTCCTGTCACGACCACGGGCGCTCCTGTCACGACCATGGGTGCTGCTGACGCGACGACAGGCACTTCTGCCACGACCACAGGCGCTCCTGACATGACTACGGACGCTCTTGCCATGACCACGGGCGCTCTTGTCACCACCACAGGCGCTCCTGACATGACCACAGGCGCTCTTGTCACAACCACAGGCGCTCCTGACATGACCACAGGCGCTCTTGTCACAACCACAGGCGCTCCTGACATGACCACGGGCGCTCTTGCCATGACCACGGATGCTCTCATCACAACCACGGGCGCTCCTGACACGACCACGGGCGCTCTTGTCACGACCACAGGCGCTCCTGACACGACGACGGGCGCTCTTGCCACGACCACGGGTGCTCCTGACACGACCACGGGCGCTCCTGTCACGACCACGGGTGCTGCTGACATGACCACAGGCGCTTCTGCCACGACCACAGGTGCTCCTGACATGACCACGGGCACTCTTGCCACGACCACGGACACTCTTGTCAAGACCACAGGCGCTCCTGTCACGACCATGGGCGCTCCTGTCACGACCATGGGTGCTGCTGACGTGACGACAGGCACTTCTGCCACGACCACAGGCGCTCCTGACACGACCACGGACGCTCTTGTCACCACCACAGGCGCTCCTGACATGACCACGGGCGCTCTTGTCACAACCACAGGAGCTCCTGACACGACCACAGGCATTCCTGCCACAACCACGGGCGCTCCTGCCACGACGACGGGCGCTCTTGTCACAACCACAGGCGCTCCTGACACGACCACAGGCATTCCTGCCACAACCACGGGCGCTCCTGCCACGACCACGGGCGCTCTTGCCATGACCACGGGCGCTCCTGACACGACCACGGGAGCTCCTGACACGACCACGGGTGCTCCTGACACGACGACGGGCGCTCTTGTCACCACCACAGGCGCTCCTGACATGACCACAGGCGCTCTTGTCACAACCACAGGAGCTCCTGACACGACCACAGGCATTCCTGCCACAACCACAGGCGCTCCTGCCACGACGACGGGCGCTCTTGCCACGACCACGGGCGCTCCTGACACGACCACGGGAGCTCCTGACACGACCACGGGTGCTCCTGACATGACCACGGGCGCTCTTGTCACGACCACAGGCGCTCCTGACACGACCACAGGCGTTCCTGACACGACCACAGGCGTTCTTGCCACGACCACGGACGCTCCTGACACGACCACGGGTGCTCTTGTCACAACCACAGGCGCTCCTGACACGACCACGGGCACTCTTGCCATGACCACGGACGCTCCTGACACGACCACGAGTGCTCTTGCCTCAACCACAGGCGCTCCTGCCACAACTACTGGTGCTTCTGACACAACAACAGGTGCTCTTGCCACGACCACGGGCGCCCCTGACACGACCACGGGCGCACTTGTCACAACCACAGGCACTCCTGACATGACGATGGGCACTCTTGTCACGACCACAAGCGCTCTTGCCTCGACCACAGGCGCTCCTGCCACAACTACTGGTGCTTCTGACACAACCACGGGCGCTCTTGCCACGACCACGGGCGCTCCTGCCACGACGACGGGCGCTCTTGGCACGACCACGGGCGCTCCTGACACGACCACGGGCGCTCTTGTCACAACCACAGGAGCTCCTGCCACGACCATGGGCACTCCTGACACGACCACGGGCACACTTGCCACGACCACGGGCGCTCCTGATGCGACCACGGGCACTCTTATCACGATCACAAGTGCTCTTGCCTCGACCACAGGCGCTCTTGCCACAACTACTGGTGCTTCTGACACAACCACGGGCACTCTTGCAACGACCACGGGCACTCCTGACACGACGACGGGCGCTCTTGCCACAACAGTGAGTGCTCTTGCCACGACCACAGAAAGCCCAGGTACGTGTACTTTAATTTAATAGAGAAATAGCCCACTTATTTTTCAGAGTTTCTTTGATAAACATGAATGGAATAAGATGTTTTTTGCTATGTCTTCTGCCCCTTCATGTTGCAAAAAACACAGTAGTCTGTGATTAGTTATTTTTCATGTCGGTCAACGGGCCCTTTCCTTTCAAACGTTAAAGGGCCCAAACAGAAAAATGGAAAACCAAACATTTCTCACGTTTTTGTAATAAGAGTTTAAAGTAGTATGTAAACTTTGTTAAAGTTTCTGAATGTACCATTCACTCCCTAGTCCATACAGTCCATATATGGAGACTAAGCAGTAAAAAATAACCTGCTTTGAGTTAATTGTTTTTGTGATGTCTTGAAAAGCAATGTAATTACATATATCAGTGCGTTCAGCCTAAAGTAACTTTGTCCTGTCTTTTCATGTTAACCTTTTATGTTATAAAGACAGCCTGGATTGCTTTTAGAATGGAGGCGATTTACATACATCAGTCTTAAAGGCACAGTTACATTTTTTTTTTTTCTCAAAAGTAGCCTGTTTTTTCAAGGTATAAAGTGAGAATAAAATTGAGAATAAAATTGAATGAATGCATAAAACAAAACAAATATTTTTAACAGCAGGTTGTATCTGACCAGTGGAACATGATAGCAAGCTTTTCCCCGCAGTGCACATCCTGACTAAGCATTTCGGAGTGGGATAGTTGCTGGTTTGAAAAAAGTTATGGCATTACTTTTTATTAAAAGTTATTCATGAGTTTTCTTTATAGAATTTAGTAGCTTTCTCATGGGTTTGTATTGTTGCAGCTCCGTTTGGAAATGTACTCACTCATACACGTCACATTAAAACAGTAGCCTGTGGTTGGTTATTATGTCTCACACTGCAAAATAACTGTCAGTCTATTGTGCAATGATCGTTTCTGTCAAAGTAGGTGGGTCTTGACCACATTAATCAGCAAAATAACTTTCTGACACAATTGCACAATTCAAAACTGACAATCATATCAGTCAGTAAGACCCTGTTTAACTAAAACTTTTGAGTATGTTTAATATTTGACCATGTGTAATTACACTGACCAGTTATTAGCCTCTTTTAAATCGATATCGAATTAGTGACATTTTCACAACGGTTGAGCCCTAGTATGGTATCCATTGTTCTGCTATGTTCATCCATTATACAAATACTGTACAAACACTAGACTTTATTGGACCCTGCTGTATGTCCAATTTTCTTAAATACCATTACCCCTGTTAACTTTTAATGGGACTATGGAAAATTATTGCTGCCCTATGGAGCAGTTCGTCAATCTGAAACATTGTCTTTTTTCTCTAACATTCATTTGTCTGGCAGGTCCCTGTGATTCGAACCCTTGCCCTCGAGACAGCAGATGTGAGGAGCTCTTTGAGGACTTTAGGTGTTTGTGTCGGCCAGGACTGCACTATGATGAGAAGCAGAAGATATGTTCTCTCGGTATATTACAGCTGCTGATTTATCCTTTCCTGAATGTTTGCATCTGTTTTACACAGGACTGCAGGACTGTATAGAATAATGGGATATTTGTGTGTAGGACTTTGTACAAATGTAATAATTCTAGTTCACTTTACAGTTAATAGTAATAACAGAGCTGTGTGTATTGCATTCATGTCAACTGTTCATAATCACAAACCTGTTTTATCAATTACAGGAAGAATTTTCCCCAGTGTATTAAGATGGAACACATCGTTTAATTCAGCAATGGAAAATAAGGATTCACCAGAGTTCAAACATATGTCAGAGAAAATTATTACTGCGGTAAGATTTGCTGATTTGATGATTTGAGAATGTTTTAATCTATAGTTGTACTCTGGATAATCTGCTTTACGTGGTTAACATCTGGTAAATTTTTGAAGAGACAAAATTCTTCAGTTAACACCAGTTTCTGTAATTATTCCATATTCAAAACACAGCTCAGTGAAACTTTTAATGATCAACAAGGATACCTTGGATCTACAGTTTTGGAGTTAAGGTGAGTGTTGTTCCTGGGTGTCAGTTTTAATGTTAGAGTGATAGAACGCTGCCCTGTGAACACCGTAACTACAGATACAAATCAAAGGTTGTTTTAGAGGCCTTTTTCACTTCCTTTAACTTAAACACATGGATTATTTACATTCTGTTAAAGCAGAACGAGCTATGAGGAACCCTTCGTTAGTCGGTTTAACAAGCATTATTGAAAATAAAGAGGCTGATTGTGAATATATGTGCGTGCGATTTCTTTTTCTCATCATTGTTCTGTTGTGCCAATGCACAGGGAAGGCAGTGTGATCGCAGATGTGGACACTTTCTTTGAAGTTGCATCAGAAGTCACAGAAGCCTTCGTAAATGAGTTATTAAGTAATGCAACGGAAAAGGGTGGACCTCTTTCTGGTGTCGAAGTTAAAAGTATGTACAGCTCCAATTACTCTGCTAAATGAATTTATAATTGGTGAATTTTCCAGCACAAGAACATCTGCTAATTTTACCAAAGCTGGAACTAGTTAAGCATTGCAGTCTGGAAGAAAATATCACAAAGTTTCTTTTGTGTGTAAAAGTATGCCCTACTATAAGTCTCACCCATTTGTTCTGTTTTCAGCAATGAACGCATGTTCTACGGGATACTGTGATGAGAGAACCACACATTGTGATCCTCAAAATGGTATTGCTCTCTGCCGTTGCAGAGAAGGATATGTGATTTCGGCTGCAACAGAACAGGTGTGCGTTGGTAAGTTTCTTTTTGTGTTGGTCTGAATAACCGCAACTCAACAGGCATACTGTAGATAGTTTGGTTTTATCTTTCCTGCTTCTGAAGGCATTTCAGTAGGCTACATTCTCTTGGGAGTCCTTTTTCTTGCAATGGCATGAAAACCTTAATTCATACAAACTGCTCTGAAGTGCATATGCTTTCTCTCTGTAGCTTGTCCCAGCGGCCAGAAATCAGTGGATTCAAAGACGTGTATACCGTGAGTGTACATTTTTACATATGAACAGTGAAATGTTTCCGATTTGACAATTGAAAGCACTAAAAGTATGACGGGTGCTTGATAAACAGTATCTATAATCTTTTTTTCGTTTGTTTCAGATGTGCTTTTGGTTATTCTGGTTTCAACTGTAATGAATGTAAGTAGTATTAATTTTACAGTTTACCTTTTAAATAGCCAGGAGCTGTCGTCAGGTCAAGCTTCTACATCTCACACCCTAGACGAATGACTCAGTTGCTAAATAATTATCCTGAAGATGTAATGTGCCTGGGATTTTAAGGGATTAATGCTGTAATATATTGTCGCTGTTGGAACAAAACCTTGTATCTCCAAAATAGTAATATTACAGGAGAAGGAAAAAACGTTTTTACTTTTGTGTTTGTTTGTAATGGAAGTCAGTGTAACAAGATTTATTCCAAGAAGTTTTTAGGCTATTTCTATTGGTCTGAAATTTTAACACAATGCAAATGATACTGGGAGTTTTCAAATTATGCAAAAAAATAAAAAATGTCAAAAGTGGTGACACAAGGTTTTTGTGCTCGACAGAGACGATAAGTTAATGTGAGTGATGCATGTTTATGTTAACAGATGTATTTTACAAAAATGTTTGAGCATTATTAATGTGACATAGCATATCTCTGTGTTATAACAAGTGTTTCTTCTCTCTTTACAGCATATCTCTTGGCTGTGGTCATCAGCTCTTCTGTTTTGGGCGCACTGCTACTTGCCGCTGTTGTGACCATTATAGTTGTGAACTTCAGGTGAGGGTGTATCATTGATAATACATTTCAAATCAGGGCTGGCGACAGCTCTTAATACATAATGAGATCTGATAGCCCCCTGTAGAGCAAGGTGCCTCTCCCTTCCCGTCAATTTATCTGCAATATTTTGCATTGTCTGCCTCAACAATAGTTTGTTTTCAAAAGTGCAGTCACTCTAACCAAGGCTACTCATCAAACACTAATCAGACACTAATCCTTTAGTGTCATGCTAAACATGTGTGAGTGAGCTAGAGGCTAGGTCAGTCAGGAGAAAGATTTAACATATAACAGGGCTCTAGACTGCGACCAAAATGGTCACATGTGCATCCTTTTTTCTGAGTGCATAACATTTGTTTATTGCATGCAGTTATCATAAGAGATGGCGTGTACCTCAGAGTTTGATTTAGTGGTTTATCTTTGTGTTTTAGGTTTATTTGATTTAAAACACTACCAGTTTACGTATGGAATGATGACTTGTACAACTTAGACTATAACAGTTTTGTGAAGAATTTTTATATGTAGCTCTGCTTAAATGTGGCTGTTTGGCTGAATGTGAGAAGCATGTAACAGCTGGTTGTGTCCAGACATTTTATACACTCTATGCACACTAAATACAAATGCATTTTTTTATTTGAATAACTGATTAAGTAAAAAATACAGATAGGACAGTTTAACCTGGATGGAGGGGGCCCACCAAGGTAAATTGTTGATCAGGGCCTTATAATTCTAGAGCCAGCCCTGCATATTATGATATTAATGCACTAACTAGAGGTACAAAAATACTAGGTGTTGTTTATGTGTCTGTGTTCATCTTTCAAAAGGCCAAAGAAAAGCATCAAGTCTTCACATGACAGTGATATGTTCAGTGACATGGAGTTCCATAAACCTCCAAGAATTCCCAGAATCCCACGGGCCAACCCTAACTCTGGCTGGGAACTGGCCAATCTGGAAACGTTGGACAGTGGAAGCACATATGCCCTGATGACCAAAGGTCAGCCAGAGGGTATAGCGGTAAGGACACTGTTCATTACAGCCTGATCATTGGTTTTGCGCTTTCCTGAAGGCTTGTATGACTTATATGGTATTTCTTTTGCAGATGGAAAAATACTATAATGCCTATAATGATGAATCAAGATTCTATGGGAGCCAACCCCCTTCCAGAAATGGTTATTGGAATAGCAGTGTGTATGGGAGCGGGAATGGGTATGGGAACGGGAATGGGTATGGGAGTGGGAATGGGTATGAGAAAAGCAAAGTGTATGGGAGTGGGAATGGGTATGGGAGTGGGAATGGGTATGAGAAAAGCAAAGTGTATGGGAGTGGGAATGGGTATGGGAATGGGAATGGGTATGGGAGTAGCGATGGCTATAGGGCCAGGGCAGTGATTAATGGCTCCAGGGACACAAGGAGCACTAACTATGATCAAGGTGATGACAGAATTCACAGATATTAATTCCACAAGGGAAAAACAATGAGACAAAATTCATGCAATATTTAAAAAGCTATCTCTAAATTAAGTCTACTATAGGATATCTATTACATGTACAATTAAATATGTAAGTATATGTACATAAATATATGCAAGTAGGACCCTGGTGAGCCTTAATGCTAACATAATTGGAATATTGAATGGAAACCAAATTGAGGCTTTTTAAACACACTGCTGACCATTAAAACTGCAACACTGGAAAGAAGCATATCCTATGTGTCTGAAACTTGCAGATCAGGTGAGTCATGATAGAGTGTGAAAGCGATTACAAGCGCAGCACATATGCAATATATGCGTGCGTTTTACACCACCTAGACTTTGTATAAAAGGCGACTGCAAAGAGCAGGTTCAAAGCACTTCATTAAGTGCTTGCTTGTAGTCAGCGTTCTCTTACGGACCAAACAAGAAGACAATGGCTGTACATCCAGCTTTTGGACCTTATGCGAGGGAGAATTGTAGGAATGCAAGAAGCCGGATTATCCTTCTGGGACATCAGCACTCGTGTTGGAGGGAATGAGACCACAATAATGAGAGTATGCCATCAGTGGGTAGAGGAGGGTCAGACTCACCGAAGTGAGGGATCTGGACTACCCAGACACACCACTGAATTGGAGAACAGATATTTGGTGCACATGACTGTGAAAGAACAACAAGCTACATCAAAGGCTTTAGCCCAACTGTTGGGATGTTTTGCACATCAATGGATGTCCACATGCACAGTTCAGTACCTTTTGCTGTATCAGGCCTTTTCACTCAGCGCACATTGCCTCAACTAACCTTAACCACAGATGTCTACAACAATGCCAAGAACGTGGCCAATGGCAGGATCACTGGCATCCTGTTGTGTTCCTGAAGGGTCCCGCTTCAGTTTACAGCATGGATGGACAAATCCACGGATGGAGGCACCACAGCAAAAGGCTCAAGGAGGCATGCATTTTGCAGGTCCTGTGCTAGGCATTATGGTTCGGGGTGCCGTTGGCTTCCACTCCTATTCATGCCTCATAAATATTGCTGGTACCTTGACCAGCCAGTGATACATCACAGAGAGAAGCGCACCACAATTGGTCCGTCACACAACATCAGCGACTACTTTGTGTTGCAGGTTTAATGTCCAGCAGCCTATAAACTCTGTTCAGTTTAGTTGTTTGTCATCACAAAACAAATAGATGCGCAAAGAACGAATTTAGTAAACTGTGTCTGACAGATAAAAAAGTAACATCACAATCATTGTTGTCAGCCACACCTGATCTATAAAGCTGTATGGGTGTATGTAAGTGGGAGAGAGTACGTATATATACGTTTAAATTATGTTAAGTAGCGTACTATCAATTCATGTAATTTTGTGTCTGTTACTGGAAAACCTTCAATATGAAGAAAATAGGAAAATAAATAAATTAATGGGTATAATGGAAGTCAAATCATTCACTTCTCAGGAGATCCAGCAGATGACACTGTTTCATGATGTTCCATAAATAATTCAGTCCAAAAGTCTTATTTATTCTTTTTTATTTATGCATTAAATTTGTTTGTCTTTTTTTATGATTTACTGTTGTCTAAGCTGGATCTCAGGTACAGGGATTTAAAAGAATATTGAAGATTTCAGTAGACTCATCAATGACTTCACAGTGAAGCTTATTGTAGCGTTATGTAAAGTATGTGTCAAATATGGAAGAATTTTGTGGAAGAGATGAGTTTGTGTTTGAATAAATAATATATATACATGACAAACAGATGTTTGCTTCTTATTACATTATTTTCAACAGGAAAAGGACTCTTCGTCATTAGTAGTAATGACAGTGGAAATGGTAAATGCATAATAACTTACAGATTTTAATAAACCTTATCTGAACTCTGTGTTGTATTTAGATGTGCAGTTTTTTTGGTGATTTTACCAAGAGCTTCATAGCATATTTGACTGCACAAAGCAGCAAAAATACCCTTCAAGTTCAGGTGCAAATACTACAAAATGTCCAAATTATGATCTGCTGTTATCTCTCTGTTTTCTTCTAGTATTGATTTTAAAAATGCATCTGATTGCATCAGTTCCTGTAACAGAATACGAGATATTGGAACACACTTACATATTTCCTGTGCATTTTAGTGCACAGTTTCTATTCAGCATGATATTGAAACATTGAGCTAATTGAAAAAATACTGTATTTTTAAAACGACATAGTATTTTTTGAATTAATTATGGGGTAAGTTGTAATGTTTGCACTCGCACTGCTTTTGGCTGAACTGTTCACAAAGGGTAGATGCTGGAAACAAATTGTATGTTTTCAGTTGTAGCAGGGATGTGTAAATTTCTTATATATATTTAAAAAGCCCCCAATCCTTCTTCTCAATAAACAAACAGATATACAAACAGGATGGACAGATGTAACCGAGATGTAACCTCATGGTCTTAAAACACAAACTGAAGACCCGTTTGTTTATGAAGCTCTAAAGAGAGCATTAATCTGAGTACCTTTGGAAATGCAGTGTATTGCATTTATTCTGTGTTCTATCCAGTGTCTTTCTTTCCAGTTATTAGCAGTGGCTTTTGTTTTTTGGCAGTGTCTGAGGTTAAGGGTAGTTTGGACTATAACCTATTTGTATTAGCTAGGATACATTCTCTGAGTGGACAAAAAAGCACTTTATAAGTCTCTCTAGACAAGAGCATCTGTCCAAATGCTGTAAATAGAAATTAGATGTGCCAGGCTTCAAATCAATGGTGCAGTCCTATGGACGATGAAGAGGGAGTTTGCCAGCTTTTAGTGAACACCTCGGATAAGTCAAGTTACTCAGGGGGAATGGAAACAGCAACACCAGTGTAAGGGCTTTCTATGGTGGTGAAGCGACATGGTGAGGCCAAGCAGAGGAAGTACTTGCTCCGAGTCAATTCTCCCCAGATGGAAGGATTGTGCTGAGCTAGACAGCAGTGATTATTACCCCACATGATTTCCATAATGGACAGAGATGGCAGAAGTACACTAGTCCCTTACTTAAGTGAAAGTACTAGTAATCTAGTAAAAAAAAAAGTTGAAGTATGACTTACATTTTTTCTTCATGTAGAAGTATAAAGGAACATGCTCCTAAATGTACTTAAAGTAAAAAAGTATTTATTCAAAAATCATTTCTAGTTAAATTTTTGTAGGAAGGATATATTTTTATAGAGAGTTAGAGGTACACATCCATGAAACTGAGCGTACATAACGGTGTATACCAGAACTGCAGTACATGTTTGATTTTATTGTTGGAATCTCTACTAAGAACAAACTGTCAATTTCAACATCAATATAGTCAATATTGAACTCCAGATCAAATCCTTTAAGGCCAGGTCCAGAGTGAGATTTGTTTACACATACAACACACTAATGTCCTGCAATGTCATTACATCAGGCTATAGGCTATTCCTAACAGCCATGCCGTCATCACTGTACATATTCCAACACTTCCACCCTGATACACAACAACAGCAAAGAATCAGAAAGCTGGATTCACATAAACATCAGCAACATGCAGCACCTTCACTATAACGCATGTGTGCGTTCAGCAAAGACACAACTTCTGTCCAGAGTAGATGACAAAACAGACAGTTAAACCTACAAAGTTAAAGATGTACAGACCCAAGACAACATAAAAGTTAAATCAAACAGCTGATGTGTGAAGTTGAGGAAAAATAACACAGCAATCTTAAAAACCTGAACCTAATCATTGTAGGCAAATGCATATCATATGCATATCATATGACCATATGGAGGTCACTAGTTTAACCCTTAAATTATTACATTTTAGTTTGAACATTCTTGCACATATGTGTGTGAGTTTATACATTAGTTCACAGTAACTGGCCCATTGGGAATTCTCCCAACTCCCCGGATCACCCATTTTTGTGGCTTATCCGATTCAGTTCTCCCTCAAATTCACATTCCGTTCGACAAATCAGGTCCTCGGCTGTGCGCATTCACTGAACAGAAAACAATGCCAAGCAACACTGGAACTATGGAAAGTGAAAAGGTTCAAAAAAGGTTGAACGGCAACATGTATACACCAGATTAGCGACGAACAGTATAAAAAGTATCTCAAAATCTTAATTATATTAGTGACAGAAATACTCAAGCAAAAATACATAGACCTAAGCTAGTCCAAGCAGAGGCCCTCCTAAACACAGAAACTTCCTATCTATTTGTCTTAAGTTAAGATCTGACAGTTCAAGATAAGATTTTTCACAAAATAGTAATACAGAATCAACTGTCTTGTTTGTTACCTAGAAACCAACCATACACGCCCAGCTGAAAGGTAACCATGTAATCAAAATAATCAAACCTGTGTCTGTAAACGGGCCCTATTCACTATATAGTGCACTGTTTTGGGGTTCTGTTATTTTGTAATGGTGTCTGAAAATAGTGCAGAAGATTCAGTGCACTCAAATAATCCCACAATGAACTGCAATAAGTAGTGTACAACCGATGCACCCTGGGAGACAGGGGATACCCATAATACACTGAGTTGTTTGGTCTGAAGATACACATGCAGCTTCTCTGATGGGGATTACTGAGCCCAGCTACAACAGCAGCGTTTCCTCAGAGCTTTCTTCAGCTCTTCTTCTGTGTGCAGTCAAACTCTGTGGTTATATTTGACTGATGGCATGACATTAATAGTGTTTATGAGATGGAATCTGCTGCCATGCAGTAATGAGCAAACTCGTGTGACATAGTGTCTGAAATCCTTTACTACCATCACAAACTATGTTCCCTATAATAGTCCTCTATATAGCGATCCAGACTTTCAAATGCAGGGTATAGTGATTAGAGGACTCACCACAAGCTAGTTATTCATGCAGAAATCTACTGTTAGTGATATAAAAATGGTCAAACAAAACCAAAGCATGATAAACTTGAAGATAAGAATATTGTGACAGCACTTGTATGACTGTATGTCAATATACTGAAATATATGCACATATGTGGATGA